ACAACACAGAGACACGCAGGCTATTACAGACAGGAAAGTATATACATTTATTATATAAACACCAATGAAATACCAGGTGTCCTTTCGTGCAAAAACTTGATATCTTCACATGTGAAAATAACATGTTATCTTCACGTGTGAAAATATCACCTTTGCTATGGCTACACAACAAATCGTGCCTTTCACACCAAAAAACTATTAAAGTGAAATGGTTTCGTATTTCATTGGTGTTTATATAATAAATAGAATATTACATGGCCGCTTGGAGATACGAAATTTCTCTTTCCTTGTTGAAAAAATATTTGACCCATTCACTGCGCTCACTTGTGAAATATTTTTCAACACTCGAAGAGAAATTTCGTATCTCTGCGCAGCCATGTAATATCCTCTATATATCCAGGGGGAAACCACTCCCATGTTAGCCCCAAGTCTCCCAGACCAAGGTTGCCTTGGAAACAGTAACAAAATTCTTAACATCCTGTTCCACTCTCTGCTCTGTATACAATGTAATGCCCGCTTCTTTTTATACTAAGTCTTTATTGTTCAAGTCCTTTATAATAATGTTCGACGTCAAAAATACTGACAAACAAAGATATTAACTAGATACTTTATAAAATTGGATGCCTTTAAATAGTCCCATATAGAAAGCATAAGATCTTGAAAAAGCCATAGACATCTCATCTAATTTCTCCGTGACCTTTGAGTTTAGTCTGAAGTCGGTTTCACATAAATTCCCTCCTGAAATAGAAGCAGGGATTCACATTCAATAAAATTCAGTTTGCTTAATATAAGTACTTGTTTGCAGTTACATAGTAGAAGACCCGGTACTAGTTATGTGATTGTGTATTTTAAGACATAAATTTGGTGGTAATCCAATGTCTTGTTGTGTTATCTCTAAAAAAAGTGTTCAAAGCATGTATACTCATAATCATAATGATATTATTACACAACTATCCCCCGAAGGGGAGGTGAATAGTGGTGGGTATGTACCGAGATCTGTTGCGTCAAGGTATAATTATGTCTAGTGCTATTCACCGACCCTGAGGGGGATAGCTGTTTTAGTATTTACCAAATCTGTTGGATAAAAATGAAATAAAGTAACTTTTTGTAACTTTTGTAAATAAAGTAACTTTTTTCATTTACAAGTACAAACATTTCAGGGATTTTGTCGAGTGCATTTTTACAATTTCGTTGCAAATTCAGCATGAAAATAATTTTCAACCTCCCATTAGACACTGACAAACCAAAGTAAGTCACTTTTTTGGTATTTGTTGGTACAACTGCTTCACTTATCACTCAAATTTCATGTTCCAAAATCATCAAAGTAATGGGAGCCAATCAAAATACGTGAAAAGTGCTATTCACTGATTTGGTAAATACTAATAATGCTTATTGGTGCTGTTTTTCCTAAAAGAGTATGGGGACCCCTGTCTTCATTTCAAAATTTAAGTTCCTGTAACCAATCTGTTTTAGGACATTAACTACACACTTTCATTGGGTGGAAAACTGTACATCGACAGTACTTATAAAGGTATGACCAGTCATAACTGTCGAAGTTGTTTGTTTTAAGACACTTCAGATTCGCTCAACCTAATTTGATTTCTTTGAATGCACATACGGTAGACCACATCAATACAGAATGGTATGCCTGTGCATCAGTTATCTGACCTGGATTTATTTCTTTCAACAGATCAAGAACCATGGCCGTCCTGTGCAGAATTTGATGAACAAGGCATTGCTTATGTCTGCGTCATATTCTACAACACAACCTTCTCTGCTACCCAGGTCAGCGGTTGTGTGAAGCTGAACGTGTTGGTGGAAACAGAAATCATCATACCAATGAAATGTTTTACATTGCCAAGGCCTAAAGCTATCGCCATTGATAACAAAAGGCAAGCAGCCATGGCACGAAAGTGACAGAGCAAAAACATCTCATTGAATTTTCAGTAGAATTGAACTGGATTGCGCCACAACCTCGGACAAAGCCTGTTGAGGAACATCACAAAAATCCCTTTTTTTTTCTGTGTCAAAAATCCTTTTTTTCCCCTGTCATCCTATCAAAAATGGAAACCGTCGCCAAATGAATGCCCTTCCCCCCTCCCCTTATTCAATGTTATTTAGAATAACACGAAAATTATTGGGTTTTAGAACAAAACAACTATTAATAGAAGGTGGGGAGGGTGCGTACTTTTTCTGTTTAGAGAAGATGGTAGTATGGCGCAAAAGTTAGCAAATAGATGGAACTGTTTCAACAGTTTTGCCGAGGTAACTGTAGCGTTATTCTGGTCGAGTATGACGGGATTGACGGAATGGTTCGTCAAGGCCCATCAAAACAAGATCCAATTCCGGCCAACCGATATATCGCTTTTACTGATTCTCTTTATCAGATCGATTCTGTCGTTTTTCAGTGTGCATGTTGTGTCAGTGTTTGTTTTGTTCTGTTTTGGGGGCTCCGGTGGTAAAATTGTTGAGAGAGTGGGGTGAAATGACGGAAGAAATGACCGGGAAATTCACAATAGTCTTTGAAAAAAATTGCGTTCTCTCGTATACTCACAGGTAACCCAGGCTCTGTGATATAGTACCACAGTACGGTTCCAGTAAAATTACAGAGTTTGTATGGGGTAAAAATACGATCCTAAAATTAGTAGGAAATACTAAGTACATGTAAAGGTCAATGAAACTTACTCTGCTGTTAGTTGTTGTTGCCCTTAATGCTCAGTTTACAATAATAATTTGTAGCGCTGTTGTAGCGTTTAACACCTTCAGGTTTTGCTTATTTAATTTCCCCATTTTCATTTAAAAAATTGCATGTCGGAAAACAAAGTATTTCTATCAGAAAGGCGCCCTGTATTTTACTTCACTTCTGGAATCTTTATGGCCTACAGCGGACACAGCGATACAAGAGAAGAACTATATGCTGCTCACAGAAGGATGAAGTTCAAAATCTTCAGCTTCCATTGCATAGTATGCATTTCCTTGCGAGGCCGTTGAGATGGGCCGAGAGTTTGTCCTAATTTCGAAACAAATCTAACCAAAACTATTATATACATATACGCATCTGCGAAAATCTCTTACCAGTTTTTAGCAGCGTCGTATCTCTTTCTGAAAGTCGCAAATTCCAATTCTTCTGACCATCCACTTTCCAACTGCTGCTTGATAAGTTATTCAAGTTCATTAGCAGTAGAGGTGAATGTTTTTGCATCAAAGAATGTTTTCAATAATTGTCTTGGGACTTACAATACTTACAATCGTCTCAGGCCAGAACAAACTAAAAACAATGCTTATTCAAAAGTTTGGAGGGAAAACAAAGAGTATTATGCCAAAATTAATGGTATTTTTGAAGGTCCATTCGAAAACCTGTTTTCCTTTTAAAGTAATGACGTCATGGACATTTCAACATTTCACAATTCCTTCACAGATGCTCATTTATCCCCAAGTGGCAAACATAGTGTCCATGAGAATATGAAAAAGAAGAGACCTGAAAACCGTAAAATTCCTAAAATAAGTCCCCCCCCCCGCCTCTCCTCATATGTATACAGAAGAGACCCCCGGGCCCTGTTGAGCTTCAAATGAGCCGAGCCTAATACTGAAGATCTTTAATCTTTGCCTTTACATTTAATCGTTACAGCCCTCTCCTCCCCAGAAGTATTAGCCAGCGAGCAAAACGTCCCGACCCCCGCACCCTAGGGAGCGGCTGCCGTCCCAGGCAGCAGAGATATCTTTGTGTCATAACGAGGCCAGATAGGGTGAAAAAGAAAACGTGCGGGGCTTACTATTTTAAATTTTTGTTCCGATTTTATGTGAATACCCAGCGCGAGCCTCTGCGTATCAGAGGAGCGAAAAGACAAAATGTATTGTTCCAGGAGCCCATAATACGGAGCGAATAACTTCCACTCTCGTGTCACGGCGTTTTCACGGACCAGTTTATTTTTAGAACGGTTTTGGCGCGAATTTTCAATATCTTTTAAGTTCCGCAAACAAGTCAGCAAAAACCTACAGACCCAAAAATGATATTTTTTGCCTTCTAATAACAGTTAGTTTTCCTATTTGATATCTTGTACTTCGAATGCGCTCACAGATTTGGTGGAGATTTTCCCTGGAAGGAGTGCCCTAAAATGTGTCTAAAAATAAACTGGTCGGTAAAAACGCCGTGACATAGGCCTAGTATGGAGTTGCACGCTCCGGGTCATGGGCTCCTGATTGTTCTCAATTATTAGCTCGAGGTTCGGTACATGTGACGTTTGACGCTCCAGCCTCACTTTCGAAATGCAAAAACATAGTACGTCCCCAGGGGGGCATATACTTGGGCGTTCCCTCATATTAAAAACCCTACGATCAAACTCAGTGTACGAGGCAATCCCACGCGTTAATTTCTGACACGAATTCTCTCCAGCCTCAAGCTCAGCCGGTTTTATGAAATACAAATTTACCTCAAATGATAAGCCACTTCCTGGGTTTCAGCCAGACATTAATATTGCAAAGAAGGCACATTTTCCAAGAGATTAGGTAATTCCCATTGAATTTCTCCTGAAAGTGGGTTTTCACAGGACGACTTGACACCCCTCTGGCTAAAGCTTCGGGGGAAACCTATGTTTGCTACCCAGGAAGCGGGGAGGAGAGAGTTCTCCCATACATGAGCTATACGGGTATGTGCCAAACTATGCTCCCTTCGTCGTTTCATCACTGAGCGAGGCAAAAGGAGAGGATTCCCATTTTAACAATTGTTGTCTGGAACAGGGTCGCAAATTCAGTTTGCTTGGAAAAAGTTTAGAGTCTCAAAGACTCAGCGCCATACCCCCACAGAGTACCATCAGGTGTGCCACAACACAGAGACACGCTGGCTATTAGAGACAGGAAAATATATACATGTATCGAGGGGGACACCACTCCCATATTACCACTAAGTCTCCCAGACCAAGGTTGCCTTGGAAACAGTGACAAAATTCTTGACACCCTGTTCCACGCTCTGCTCTATATACATGTAATGCCCGCTTCTTTCTATACCAAGAGTTTATTGTTCAAGTCCTTTACAATAATGTTCGACGTCAAAAATACTGACAAACAAAGATATTAACTAGATACTTTATAAAATTGGATGTTTTTAAATAGTCCCATATAGAAAGCATAAGGTCTTGAAAAAGCCATAGACATCTCATCTAATTTCTCCTTGACTTTTGGGTTTAGTCTGAAGTAGGTTTCACATAAATCCCCTCCTGAAATAGAAGAAAGGATGCACATTCAACAAAATTCAGTTTGCCAAAAATAAGCACTTGTTTGCAGTTACATAGTAGAAGACCCTGTACTAGTTATAGTTGTTTTAGTATTAATTTTACCAAATCAGTTGGATAAAAAGGAAGAAAGTAACTTTTTGTAAATTAAACACATCGCTAGTAGAAACTTTATTTACAAGTACAAACATTTCAGGGATTTTGTCAAGTGCATTTTTACAATTTTGTTGCATATTCAGCATGAAAATAATTTTCTACCTACCAGCAAACACCGACAAGCCAGAGTTAGTCACCTTCTTGGTATTTGTTTGTACCAATGCTTCACTTATCGCTCAAATTTCAGGTTCCAAAAATGTCTCGAAGCGAGACGCCATCTTGGCTACGGTTGCAAAACAGTGAATTGCCAAGGATTTGCTGAGTTACGGGAGCCAATCAAAACACACAAAAAGTGCTATTCACTGATTGGGTAAATACTAATAATGCATATTGGTGCTGTTTGTCCTAGACAAGTATGGGGACCCCCTGTGTTTATTTCAAAATTTAAGTTCCTGTAACCAGTGACAAAAATCTAACTGCCATTTCTATTTCAGAGAAATGCCGTTAAGAGCTGAGAAAACAGAAGGTCATGTGCATGGCCCTTACCATTGCTTTCCACTCATTTCCAGTCTCAGGGTAACTATACCCACTAACTTCCCGTTGACCATGAATGGGACGGCCAAACTGATCCCCTGTTATATGAAGATAGCTACATGACAAAGGGAGAGAAAATGTCGGTGATTAGCCTTTTAAAAATGTCAGTATTTTGAATTTATGCAATTTTGTGACATTTTAATTGAATGTTTACATAGCAAAAGTGAAGGATTCATGTTTATAAATTCCCACATTGTGATTTTCAATGTTTTTAAACAAACGATTAAAAAATATTCATTACTAGTAAACTCAATAAAACACATAAAGCAATTATGAATGGATAGAAATAGCAAAGAAATTTATCTGGCTAAACTCAATTCGAGTAAGCTCAAAAATGGGGACACAGTTACTTACACTTTCGTTGCTGAATGTTTAAATCTGACTTTATCCTGTCTTTCCCAAAACTTTGTCCCACAGACCACAGACCAGTGGTCACCCTCGTCACCCTGTCCGTTCTCACCAAATGCACTCACTTCCTGGTTGTGCGAGATCGGCGATTGAAAGTAATGACTATGAAGATTGCGCTTGGTTGCCAAGTGCTGTAATCTCAATGTGCTGCCACATTTTACAGGGTTCCTGTAATAATAAAAACATACCATAACTTATATATTATTATTCATTCATAATATTTCCCTGTTTCTGAATGGCTAAAATCCCACACATAATTTATCATAACCAGCTACTGTGAGTGTCAACCAAATTTGGAAGAATTTTGCGATATGTGAAAAATGATGTCAATTGTGAAGCATAATTGCCAGAAAACGAAACAGTCAACCGAGAAGACCTGCGGATGAGGTCAGTCGTTTTGGTAGTGAGTACAAAATGGCAGAACATTTCAGTAGTTTCACGAGGAAGAAATAACCGAAATATTAGCTAAAAACAGAGCAAGAACAACAAGAAGACAACTCGACAGGGCCATCTGCTTTTTGGAGAATATTTGCAGTACTGAACAACCCTTTATCTATTAAACTTGCCAATAAATGGGCGATTGAAGATGAACTTAAAATCGATAGAGGTAAGTATGTTTTAGCTTGTTTTTAGAGTAGGAATTATTTGGAATTAATAATAAAACAATAATTAAGCCTTTGTATTATCTGAAGAATTATGGAGATCTCGGAGGGTGTCATCCGCTGAGGCCGATTAACACCCTCCTCGATCTCCATAATTCTTCAAAAAAATAAGACTTGGTATGAACCCTGCACTTACCTTCTGTCCCAAGATTCACAATCTACATTAAACATTTCAAAGGCTCTGCTTTCAAGCATATCATATATTTTGATCAATATTGTTAGATTTGCTCGGACTGTACCATCAAATGCAATTTGAGATTATTAGCACAACAAATATTGAGACCACCGCACAACAACAGAGGTCCTGACACAATAGCAGTCTTCAAGGCAGATATTAGAGGTCTTTTAAATTGTCTGTCTACAAATCAAAGCCATAGTTCATTCTTTTTTCCACTCAATTTTTAAGGGAATACAATCATCCATGGTGTAGAATACTTACCCTCTTTTACAAGGGGCATCAGTCTTGCCTCTGACCACCCAGTAGCTATTGCCATCATCTGCATTATCAACACCTGTAACGGACTAAAGATACCCATACAGCAGTGACAATACACTTCTCACATATATGTACATGCAGAAAAATGTCCTCTTTATTTTTAAATGTCAATATATTTAGCAGTACATTGTATATGCCTTTTTAGGGTAGGTATACTTGTCTGTAGTCGGAATTGCAAAACCCGTCGTTTCATGTATTGAGAAGGGAATCATGTCCCTATCGACATTTTCCCATTGTTTTTGCGCCTGTCTTTGTTGCTGCCACAGTTTCAACTCATCTTTTTAATTTGTGCTGCTGTTGCCACTTCATTTGTCTTACATCACCCTTTAAAGGCCATGTCAATTGTCGGAATTTTAACCTAACAGGGCCTCCCTAGTTAACTAATCGTGTGCATCAGAAAGCATCCCAATATTGTTGTTCCTGTGTTACAAAGCCACAAATTTTCGAGGTATTGCACACGACTGCCAATAGGCCTCCCTTAATTATCTTAACAGGGGCATCTCGGCTAGGAAACTGGACTCCTTTAAACTCAAATTTCGTTAGGCTGAGAAAACAACTGACATTTGGCAGTACTACCACTGGTTTCCCCACCAAATGACATCTGAGAGACGAGTCGAAAATTCCATACTGATGAGGTGTCACTACCCAGATCTGGGTAGTGACGTGTCATCAGTATGAAATTTCTGCGCTTGTCTCTCAGATGTTGTTTGGCGGGGAAACCAGTGGTAGCGTCGCCAAATGTTGGCTGTTTCTCAGGTAGAATTTCATTTCTGTAAGTGACGGGTTTGGATCTGTAATCAATGATGACCTCTAGTCATACAGTGTATGTCTATAATGCAGTTGGGGGTGGTGGGGAGGGGGGGGGGGTGTTTAACATCAGAACTGAAAATAACAGCCATTCATCAGACAATAGTGCTAAGCCTAAGGTCAGATGTACGTGTTTTCTAAGGAGAAACAACATTTGCAGCTATGAATCTTGTCCAAAATCCAAAATACAAGTAAATTAAATCTCAATCTTCCATTCAAAACCTCCGGGGAGAGAAACAAACAAAAACAACTCCAAGATACTGAATATTACAGAGAAAATGCACAAACTGTTACCAGGCAACGTGAGGATCTCAAATAAATTGTTTATTTATTTCTCGACCCTTTTTGTACCACATTTTAAATTACGGTAATTTCATTTCGAAGTTTTTGCAGGTTTATGTCGCGTCTTTAATAAAACTTCCTGTAATTAGATCACAAAATCACGCAACCATGAAATACCCGGGAACAAATGAGAACTTTGCACGTTTCACGTCGTTTTACTAGTTCAGTCATCTTAATTCAATATTCTGAATTCATATTAGATGAATTTGCTGTTAATTATCTTTTTCTGAACAGCAACTTCGAGATATCTTTTATCTTATAGCTATGAGAAAACGACAAAGCGAAAGAGAATTAATAATAACGAACATACAAGCTTCAGTCCAAGGGGAAGTTACGCAACCATTAAGGTCTCAATTTAAAACACCAATGACTATGTATAGAGACAAAGTTTTGTCACTAATTTGAACATTTTCGAAAACGACGTAAATCGTGCCTCAGCAAGCTTTGGTAAATTTAACGAAACAAATGTAGTTTCAAACTTGGCTGAACATAATAGGCAACTTTCCTAATCTTAAAAACGGGACAGCTTCAATTATTACCTTAATAAAAACGAATTCCTACTATTTTAGTAATTTTACAAATCAAAAGGGTTTGGCTTGTAATCTTCAAAAAAATCCAACTATGAAAAAAACTAAATACACCGATATAGAGAGTTGATCACACGCTGGGTAGCTAGGCATCAGTTCACAACAAGTGTAAATCTCTCATTTGAAATTCAGTCGAATTTTATATGCAAACTTCCTTACCTGCTGCCCGCTCCCAGAACCATACTTTACTTCGTGAGAATGCAGCCGGACATTGTGTTTAGGATTAAGTAGCTTTAGAACGCTCCCACATGTCACATACTTGAAATCTGAATAAAAAAACAACAAAATTTGTTCATTCATAACCGCCATTGAAATGATCTGAGATTCGACGCGCTTCAAATTCTTAGCGGCGCGTCAAATGTTTAGCTGTATAAATGCTCACCTTTCGTAGATTCAGCTATCGTGCGACTAGATAAAACAGAAATTATGGTGATAAATAAATAAGCGTATTTAACAATGGTATATGTTCTTGTAATTTGTAAAAGACGCAAAGTTCTATCTGGAGTCACAGCCATCTTGAAATTGAAAAGAACGTGCAAGCTTCGGACTGGCTTTTCTTGGCGTTGCCTCGTTTTCATGTAGACCCGTCAAACCAGTTTGGGATCCAGAGAGAGGGACTTGGGGATAACAAATCATCTTCAAAGTGGTTTTTGCGGAAGGAAACATCTTGTAAATATTGCAGAGCCTTTGATCAGAGACACACAATTAAAATCAACCAAGACAAGGGCGGTCATACTGTCGATAAAAAAGTAAGCGGAAGTTATAGTGTTGCCAATCGCGCTTTTAGGCAAAAGAGCCCTAGAATAGTAATTTCTAAATCCTAGAGAAATCTCTAACGTTTTTAGCTTCCCACGTAAACGTTCTTTTGGGTCGTCACAATGTCTTCCCCAACGTATTTAGGGAAGGAGAACGTGTGACGAAAGGCCACAAGAGAGGATCATGTCCCATTCTCCCCTCCCCCCGCCCCCGCTTCCCCAAAAAGAACATTGCATACCTTATTATAGGAAATGAACGCTCCATGAAATTAAGGTATTGGAAATTAACGCGACTTAAATTAACGCGAATTTATTGGAAAACGACTTTCGAATAAAGAAAATTAACGCGAAGGAGGAGGTAGAATTTCATAATAAAGGAAGTTAACGCGATTAAGACACAGTTGGTGGTAACAACTAGAACAAATTTATTTTAACACTGGATGTACAAAAATTCAAAACTGAACAAAACTGAGCTGACATCAGTTCTGACAGCGACAACGATGAAGATGAACTCGAAATATTGTGAACCTTCGCCTTAGCTTTTGTGAAAGATGAAAAATAAAGGGTAAATGGAAAGGAAGAAAGCTTGTAGTTAATGTTTTTTAGATGTCAAGAATGTCTGGACAGGTTCCAAAATTGGGGTTAAAATACTGGAAATTAACGCTTCACTTAATTAACGTCGCGGAAATTAACGCTCAACAAAATTAACGCGACTTAAATTAACGCGAATTTTAACGATTCGCGTTAATTTCATGGAGCGTTAATTTCCTATAATAAGCTAAGGTAACCTTTGTTTTTCTTTTTTTTTTTTTCTTGTGTACATGTATTATAGCTGCCGTCCCAAGAGAAGTTGAAAACAATGCTAATGCAAAATTTTGGGGGGGAATTAGGTGCATTATGGGAGATGTGCAAAGGGCTAATCATCCCAGGGGATACAAAAGAGAATGCAAATCTGGAACACTGGCAACGCTGCATGAGAATTAGCCTGTGATTCAGCCATTTCTCCACACTCCTCGCTGCAAGAACCGGATATTTCGACTACATTGAGAGGTTTGAAAAGCCCCAAATGTTATTATACATGACATAAGCTGTGAACTGCAGGCCTCCTGTCTGAAGGAACCTTTTTACTCACTTGGAGAGACCACATGGATTTATCAATTATTAATCATCAAGTTGGTAATATTAATGTGGAATACAAATAAATAAATAATACAAGAGGGTTTCCAAGGGCCAACGCCACAGGAAAGACACCTTGAACAAGCAAAAGCAGTCTATTCAAATGTTCTTAAAGCATAGCCCCAGAGAAAAACCCTTATAATGCTGACAGTTTCGATGACTGACAGCCATCTTTATCAAAAAATGTTTATTGTCAATTGTAATTTTTTGGACACTTTCTATTACGATTTTTCTCTCGGGTTATGCTTTAAGAACATTTGAATAAATATTTGACCTTACTAACATAATGAATTTCTTCAAAAGCTTAAAGCAATATTATTGTGGCAGCAAAAAAAAAGTCTTTTAATATTCAAGCAAGGCCTATCTGCAAACAAAGTTTATACATCATTTACAGCGGAAGCACAAACTTGAACAAACTTTATATTAAATAATTTTATGGAACTTACTTATTTATTTCCTGTTTTCATTAAAAACTGAGTAACCAGCATATTCATTTTGTTTTTCAGTAATTAACAAAATGAAATGTTGGATTTTAAGAAGATATCTATTTCCAAGCCTGTTAAATTGTAAATTTTGAAAAGCTTAGAGCAAAGTCTAAATCAGTTTGCATCTACCTTGTCAAAACGAGCTTTTTTAAGAGTGGTTTTTACCCGAGTGAATTTTGATTTTACCATGAGAAAAAAAGGACTATTCAATCTTCAATGAAGACTTTTAGTCAGACCGTGACCTACGATGTTAAGTTCATTTTGCAATGTTGCTCCCCTTATTTCGTTGTATTGTTCCAGCCTTCGGCAGACGTGAATACACCTTAACTTCCCTACCTCAACCAAAAAGGTTCTGGTTTTAGTCCCTTCTTAACTTGCTAAGCTAACCAACCCCCATGTCAAACCACAAAACGAAGACCCTCGCTAAATAACACGCTTTACCTAGCCCCCCAAAACACCTTATCGCTCGTAACACTTTGTGGGTCGTTGAGAGAGACGTTAATAATAGGATTCTCGTTTTGTACACTGAAAAAGCGCGGTCAAATAACAAAACAAAGACATTTGATAAAACGCTTTGCTGGGCGCCAAAATACACGACATAGATGGGGCCTTCGCTTTGTAGAAAAGGTCGGGTTAATACTACAAAACGAAAACCATTTCGATTACGTGCATAGAAACACCCGAGAACTTGTTTATAGGGGGATAACATGGATTAGGGGGCAGACAAAGCATTCCCTGGGCTCAGAGGGTTAATCTGAGGTAACCTCATGATACTCCTTCAGGTGTCGTAATGGCTACCCGTAAAAACAGTGTATGTCTTCGTTATGAAGCTTCAAACGGTTTCTTGAACAAAACGGGAACGCTTTCGATATAAAGTGTATTTCCAGTCAGCCATCCCCCCTTCCCCCCCGCCCCCCCTCCGCCACCAAAAAAAAGGAGCGAGCGCCACATTGTTTTTCGGCGCCTGTCAAAGCGTTTTAGCAAGGGTCTTTGTTTAGAAGGCTTGACTCGGCTCCTTCTAAAAAGCAAAGACTCTAAATCGAGCGTCAACACCCGAAAGAGAGTAGCGAGCGGTAACGTGTATGTTAAGGCCAGTCAAAGCGTTTTAGCCAGGGTCTTCTCTATAACATGTCTATTTGCCTGTGAAGAAGTTTTACATCAGTCATCATTGGTCTTTGGTTTGGGGTCTCCCTTCTTCGGCCTTCGGTCTTTAGGTCTTTAGTCTTCAGTTTGAAGACAATTGCAAATTAAGACTGTTTATGACAAAATTTACTCTTTTCCATTGCCATTACTATTATTTTTTTTACATTTTTTTCTATACTCTATCCATTTCACATACCAACTTCCTCTGGTACTCATATCAAATCTCAAGAAAAAAAATATTTTAGCGTTAAATAATGACAAGCAAAAACTGGCAAATAATATATCATTACTACCCTGAATTAAGGTAATGCAACAACAAAATACAAAACAAAACAAACAAATAACGAGCTCATTCATTTGTTTTATAACATTTCGAAAAAATGAAATGTTAGAAATTTTGAAAATAATTTGATTCTGCTCAATTTTCAGAGTTCAAAGTTAATAGTGAGTTTAAGATGCCACGAAGGCGACAGCAACGAGACCGCCAAACTGAAGCAAAAGGTTTAGATTAGCAAAACAACGATTCTGCACGTGCAGCACGCTTTTTAGTACATTCCTTTGGTGTCACTGCACGGCTACGACGTGAAATTGGCGAATTTCATGTTTTATCGAGAACGTTAACCGGCAAACGACGACCATTTTGTTCTCTTTGAATTCGGATGTTTTTTTTAGGAATTCAACTCCGGGAGAGTTCGCCTACATTATGACAGGGTAAGCGAGTTGGGATAATCGCGCTGAAGTTCAAAGAAAGCGAAATCACTTTTTAATTAGGGACCTTACGAAACGACGACGGTGACGGCAAGGAGAACGTCAAAAAGCAATAGGTTTAATGAGCAAAACAACAACTCTGCACGTGCATCACGCTTTTTTGTACATTTCTTCGCTGTCCTTGTATTACTAAGACGTGAAATGACCAAATTTTAAGTTTACTTGAGAACGGGAACGGCAAGGCGATAAATTCTCGCATCTCTGTCTGAACTCGGGCGCGGTCCCCTCTCTTCAGCTCCAACCAAAATTCCCTTCTTTTAAGCAACAGGGCGAATTGGGATAATCGCGAAAAAGTTTAAAAGGATGCGAAGTCTATTTTTCAACGACGTCGCCGTTGTCGGATCGCAAGGTCCCTGTTAACCAGAAACGACGACCATTTTTTTCTCTTTGAACTCGGACGCTTTTCTTAGGAATTCAACTCCGGGGGAGTTCGCCTACATTTTACAGGGTAAGTGAGTTGGGATAATCGCCCTGAAGTTCAAAGAACGCGAAGTGACTTTTTAAATAACGGTTTTTACCGACGTCGCCTTCGTGGTAGTATCTCAAAATCCCTTTTTATCGAACATTAACTTCACTGGTGTGGCCGATGTCATCTTCTTCGCTCTCCTTTCTGTGTTCTTTTCTTCTCCTTTTCTTTTCTTTCTTCAGCCTTTTGTTTTTGTTTTTCCTTCGCGTCTTTGATCTGCTGTTTCTTCTGTTCATTTTCCTCCTTTAATTTGTCTCTCTTCTCCTTTTCCTTGTCCGCTACTGACTGAACATTCACATTTTTGAACAGTTCTGTAAAAAAGACAAATTTCAGAGCAACATTGTACACTAACCTGCTAACAGCAGACGCATTTCCGGTCGTCGCTTCTCTACCGGAAATGCGTCTGTTGTTCGCAGGTACACTAGGAAAGATTCGCACCAATTTAGGTTTCTCAGTGGGAAACTGCCAACCTACCCCTCCCCTAAGCTGGCTTTAATAATACTTACTTCTCACTTTGAACAAAATGATGACTTAGGGGAGGGGTAGGTG